GACTCTTGGTTTAAAGTTGACGGGAAAAGTGCGCCAAGATGTGTCTACAAGGTGGAACTATACATATTTGATGCTTGATAGCGCTTTTCCTTACCGTCGAGCATTTTCTGAATTCAAGATACTTGACAGAGATTTTACATGTTGCCCTTCGGATGAGGATTGGGTTAAAGCTGAAACAATTGCTAAGTTTTTAAGGCCTTTTTATGAAATGACTACACTATTTCCTGGGAGCCATTATCCTACCGCCAATTTATATTTTCATAAAGTTTGGAAGATTCATATGTTGATAAAGAAAGATATAGGTAGTGAGGATCCTAATATTAAGGCGATGGCTATGGAAATGGAGAAGAAATTTACAAAATATTGGCAAGACGACTACCGTCCAATTGCTTCTATGGCGGTCGCCCTTGATCCTCAGAATAAGTTAAAATAGATAAAGTTTTTCTTCTCAAAACTTGATCCTTTGACTTTCAATGAAAAAGTTAAAATTGTTAAGGATAATTTGCATAGGTTGTTTAAAGAATACATGACATTATCCGATGTTGGAATTGTTGGAAATAGTAGTCATGGATGTCATCATGAAATAATGGACGAAATGGATGAATTTGACATATTTGAAAGTCCATCTGAGTATAGTTTAGAAAAGACACAGTTGGGTTTATACTTGGAAGAGCCTCTATTAGTTCGAAAAGGAAATGAAAATTTAGACATGCTTACATTTTGGAAAGATAATATGAGTAAGTATCCTGAACTCTCATTGATAGCTCCTGACCTGTTAAGTATACCTATCAGTACAGTTGTATCTGAGTCAGCCTTTAGTGTTCGTGGTCGAGTTATTGGCAAACTCCATAGTTCTATTCTACCGGAGAATGCAGAAGATATTTTGTGTTCTAGATATTGGATTTACGGGCATCAAGGTACATTATAATTAGTGTCGTGTGTATTTTATTTTATGAACTTTCTTGTAGTTTGAAATTTTTTAAAATTTTCTTATTTTTAGCTTGTGATGATTCTGAAGAGGAGGACAGTGCAGTAGATGTGGAGAAAATTTCATCTTTACTTAGAATTGTGGATGTAGAGCAAGGATGCAGAGGCCCGAGCTAATAGGAATTTATAAATATGGATTGTTGACTATAATGAGATATAAGTTTCGATACATTCTGATATTTTGCTATATAACTTGGAGATGAATGGTATCTCCAGGACTCTCATTCATTTGTAAAAAGTTTTTGATTCNCATTTTCATATAGTTGATAACATGTAAATATTGGGTCAAGTTGGCGGTGGGTTGTAACCCATGTTTAGCCCATCTTGACCCAACTAAACTTTGCGTTGGGTTGGCATTGACCCAATTATTAGTGCAACCCATCTTGACCAACCCAAACTCAGCCCAAACAGCACATTTGCCACCCCTAGAGGATGTTCTTGGATGGAGTAGAAAACTTCAAAGGAGTAGGTATTGGAGCTGTCTTAGTATGAGAGACTGACCAACACTATCCGGTATCTACAAAACTCAGGTTTCCATACACCAACAATATGGCGAAATATGAGGCCTGCATCTAGGGACTTAGTTTGGCCATTGACATGAATGTTCAGGAGCTGCTGGTAATTGGAGATTCTGATCTTTTAGTGCACCAGGTTTTAGAGGAATGGGCTACGAAGAACACCAAAATATTTCCATATTTGCATTGTGTACAGGAGTTGATCAAGAGGTTCACAAAGATAGTGTTCAAACATGTTCCAAGGATTCAGAATAAATTCGCAGATGCACTTTGTCATCCATGATACAACACCAGACAAGAATTTCATTGATCCTATCCCAATAGGGATTCATATGCAACCGATTTATTGTGCTCATGTTGAAGAAGAGATTGACGGAAATTCGTGGTTCCACGATATCAAGAATTACTTTGGAAAGGGAGAATACCCAGAGACTGCTATCCATACTCAGAAGTGCACGTTTTTCTAAGATTAGCCAACTATTTCTGTGAAAACGGGGAAATTCTGTATAGAAGGACTCGTGTTCTGGGATTACTATGGTGCGTCAATACTAAGGAGGCATCCAGATTGCTCAAGGAAATACATGTCGGAACTTGCGGACCGCACATGAATGGTTTCATCTTAGCCAATAAGATACTAGGAGCAGGGTATTTCTAGATTATTATGGAAACATGCCGCATCATGTATGTTCAGAAGTTACCAATGTCAGATACATGCTGAAATGATACGAGTACCACCCAATGAACTCAACGCAACAAGTTCACCCTGGCCTTTCTCCACTTGGGGTATGGATGTCATCGGCCCAATCGAACCCGCTGCTTCAAACGGGCATAGGTTCATTCTGATGGCCATAGACTACTCACAAAATGGGTGGAAGCGGCATCTTATAAAGCTGTAGCTAAGAAGGTTGTAGCGGATTTTTGTCGGGACCACATTGTTTGTCGTTTCAGAGTACTGGAGTCAATTATTACTGACAATGCTGCCAATCTCAACAGCGATTTGATGAAAGCCATGTGTGAAACATTCAATATCAAGCATAGGAACTCCATAACATAGGACGCAAGTGAATGGAGCCATAGAAGCCGCCAACAAGAATATCAAGAAGATATTGAGGAAAATGGTGGACAATCAGAAACAATGGCACGAGAAGCTACCATTTTATTTACATGGATATCGTACCACATTTTGCACATCAACAGGGGCAACTCCCTACCTACTGGTTTATGGTACTACAGTTGTTATTCTCGCCGAAGTAGATATCCCTTCTTTAAGAATCATACAAGAAGCTGAGCTCAACGATGCAGAATGTGTATGAAGCCGGTATGAACAAGTAGCTCTCGTCGACGGGAAAATAATGAATGTGGTATGTCATAGTAAACTCTATCAGAACAGAATGGCAAGAGGTTTCAACAAAAAGGTTAGGTCAAGGCAATTCACACCAGGGCAATTGGTGCTAAAGCGAATCTTCCCCCACCAGGATGAAGACAAGGGGAAGTGCTCACCCAACTGGAAAGGTCCTTACATGTTTCACCAGGTACTAACAGGAGGAGTACATACTTGCAGAAATGGATGGAGAGACTTGCCCGAAACCTATCAATTCAGACGCAGTCAAGAGATACTATGATTAAGATTGTTTGCATTTTCTATTTGATGTAACTAAACTATGCTTGACCTGATTCCCATTTAAGAGGGGATACGTAGGCGGCCATGTGGGTTCTGTCACATCCTAATAAAATCTTCATTTCCTCTATGATCAGAAGTTGAGTCAAGATCACGAGTTTTTCCAATTTTAACACGTTTGAAAAAGCCACATAATGTGTTGTCAGAAGTATGCATTTAAACTGAGGCAAAATTTTGAAGAGGACCCACAACATTCTAAAGTAAGGAGGTTGCAATGTCTCTAAATGTGTCGCAGTCACCGATTCATCTAAATTATTTGATCTCGTGCACTATCATATATTTAAAACAACGACATTTATGCAAATAATTTGTCAAATGCATGAATGTTTTTCGAAAAATTTGTTTCTATGGCAGCCAGATGTTACACAGGGTGACTCAAGCAGGACCTCAAGACTGGAGTTAGAGTGAAGCGGGGATTCATTAGCACGAACCAACCGTTCCCCACAAAACTCACAATTTTTCTTTGAATGCAGGCACAATGAACATAACGGGACTATTCGCAAATACATATGCACAACAAAATCACCATCTTCATAACGACAAAATTGCCAAACGTAAACACATAAAGCTAAGAAATACTTTTCTCTCTCGCAGCTATTCATTGCTTTTCTTGCATAGGGTTAAGTGTTGACCTTCTTCGCATGAGACTAAGCACTGTCTCCATTCCTTTTATAAGGCTAAGCACGACCTTTCTTTGCATGAGGCTAAGCATCGTCTCCACCGTTTGCATAGGGCTAAGCACTGCCCTCACCATTGCATAAGGCTAAACATTGCCTCTCTTTGCATGAGCTAAGTATTGTCTCCAATCTTTGTGGACGCGGTAAAATTAGAAGACTTGATTTCCTACTGTTAAGTTATTTGAGAAGCCTTCCTCGAGACCCCGAGGGTGGAGGGCCACGGTCGAGTTCTCAGTCTCAGGGCTCGTTGATGTCCGAATCGAAGGAGGCAGGGTTCGAGGTAAGTATAGAAGAGGAAATCCCCTAGGGATATGACTACAACCTGACAGGTTCAGCCTATCTGGAGCCTACTGAGAGGACTCACGTCAAGCCGTCCCATCTTTGTATTCTCGCAATTAATATACATGTATTTTACAGAGTCCCCTCCCCTATAAAAAGGGGACTCGCCCTTCCTTGTAGAGGGCGGATGTTGCTCCACTTCTCCAATAAGCAATAATATCTTTCTCTCTTTTTCTTCTAAGTTATCAGTGTTCTTCGACCCCGAGGTCGCTCTAGCATTTTACTGTTTTTCGTTTGTTCTTCATCATTTAGCTCAAGATTGACGGTATAAAGCCTTATTTATATATATACTTACTTGTTGTACCCTTCCCGACTACCCTCGATAAGATCGAGATAGGCTCGAGGCCTGGACCCGAGGTATCTACTGGCTTGCTCTAAGCCCGGGAACGTCCTCTTACTTGTTCGATTATCGTTTTAGGCTAACTCGATCTTTACTGCTTTACTCCACGTTTTAGCACTATTCACCCTTACAAACTAGCTCGGGAATAGATCACGTATTTTTAGAATCCCATTTATAAATTAATTATTGTTACCATTTTCACGGTAAATAGTTTGGCGCCCACTGTGGGGCTAAAAATAATAGTGATTATTTTCATGCTAGTTTCGTCACTCAAACACACGATATCTTTCACACTTTTTCTTGCCCAAGATCTCCGCTTTCAGGACCGGACATTCTGCTCGATCGGCAAAATGAGAAGCAGAGATCTCAAGAGCGATAGGGGAACGGACTCGATCAACCCGGAGTTCGGCTCACCCCCGGGCTGAGTACGAGCGCAAAAAAGAACTCCCCAACATGATATCCACATGATTATCGGGGGGGCCGATGATCCCCAGTGCGCCGTATCCAAGCAGACAAAAACATCCGCTACAGAAGGATCGGCCCAGCAGCTCTTACCCGAAGAAACCCTCATATTCACCGAGAAGGACCTCGAGGCCATGGGAGAACCACATAATGACGCACTGGTGACCTCATTTCTCTTAAACAACACAAGGATAAAGCGCGTGCTCGTTGACCCGAGCAGCTCGGCCAACATAATCAGGTCCGGAGTGATAGAACAGCTGGGATTGCTCAGTCAAATCAACACTGTTCCTCGAATCCTCCACAGTTTCAACATGATCGAGGAAGAAACGAAGGGAGAAATCACCCTCCCAATCAACACATCTGGCATGACCCAGAGCACCAAATTTCAGGTCATCGACGGCGACATGAGGTACAACGCTTTGCTTGGTAGGCCTTGGATACACGATATGAGGGCAGCGCCCTCTACCTTACACTAGATGGTGAGGTTCCCGGCAAGAAATGGCATTACAACAATACATGGAGAACAACGGACGGCAAAAGAAATGTTCGCGGTTCATTGTGAGGCGTCGACCCCCACACACTCGGCCTCAAGCGAGGAAAAAAGCATGCAAACCGTCGGAGATGATGAGGAATATTTCTGCCCCCCGAACCTTCGTCGCCCCCGAAGAATTGGATGCGACCAAATCAACGGTCGAAGAATTGGAGCAGGACATTCTGATTGATAACCTCCCCGACCGCAAGGTATACCTGGGTACGGGGTTGACCCCCGAACTCAGGACAAGGTCTATTCGATTCCTTAGTAACAATATCGACTGTTTTGCATGGTCCCACCTAGATATGATAGGTATCCCGCCAGAAATAACCTCCCACCGGTTGAGAGTCGACCCTAAATTCAAACCCGTGAAGCAGAGAAGGAGGCCGCAGTCCGAGGTAAAACATGCCTTCATCAAATAAGAGGTAACGAAGCTCTTAAAAATCGGGTCCATCAGGGAGGTAAAGTATCCCGAATGGCTAGCTAGCGTAGTAATAGTGCCAAAGAAAGGGAATAAGCTAAGAATGTGCGTAGATTATAAGAATTTAAACAAAGCATGCCCCAAAGATTCTTTCCCACTGCCCAACATTGAATCGATGCCACGACCGGCCACGAGACCCTCACCTTCCTCGATGCTTACTCGGTGTACAATCTGATTTAGATGAACCCCGAGGACAGGGAAAAGACTTCATTCATCACAAAGTATGGCACATATTGCTATAATGTAATGCCCTTCAGACTAAAAAATGCAGGAGCAATGTACCAACACCTAGTTAATAAGATGTTCGAACACCAAATAGGAAAATCGATGGAAGTATACATTGACGATATGTTAGTAAAATCCCTGCGCGCAGAGGATCACCTGACCCATTTGCAGGAAATTTTCGACATCCTCAGAAGCTACCACATGAAGCTCAACCCCGAAAAGTGCGCCTTCGGAGTAGGCTCGGGAAAATTTCAGGGATTCATGGTCTCAAATAGGGGGATCGAGATCAACCCCAACAAAATAAAGGCCATCAAAGAAATCACAGTGGTAAATAATGTAAAAGCCGGCCAACGATTGACTGGGCGGATCGCAGCCCTGGGTAGCTTCATATCAAGGTCATCGGACAAAAGCCATCACTTCTTTGCCCTACTCAAAAGAAAGAGCAACTTCAAATGGACTCCGGAATGCCAAGGCGCCCTGGAAGAGCTAAAGCGGTACTTGTCAAGCCCACCCTTGCTACACACACCCAAAGAAGACGAAACGTTGTATCTGTACCTGGCCGTATCCGAGATAGCGGTGAGCGGTGTATTAGTCCGGGAAGATCAAGGTACATAATTTCCTGTATATTATGTAAGTCGAACCTTGGGGGACACCGAAAACCGGTATCCCCATCTAGAAAAATTGGCACTCGCGCTACTAAGCGCTTCGCGTCAGCTAAAGCCTTACTTTCAGTGTTACCGCATGTGCGTCCTATCGGTCTATCCCCTCCAGAGCATACTGCACAAAACCGAGTTGTCGGGCCGACTGGCCAAATGGGCCATTGAGCTTGGAGGGTATGATATCGAGTATCAACCTCGAACGACCATCAAATCCCAGATCCTAGCGGATTTCATGGCCGATTTTTCGCCATCCCTCGTCCCCAAGGTAGAGAAGGAACTATTACTAAAGTCAGGCACATCTTTCGGTGTGTGGACCCTATTCACGGACCGTGCCACAAACGTCAAAGGATCAGGACTCGGTATAGTCCTGAAGCCGTCTATCGGTGGCGTAATCCGACAATCCATAAAAACTGTGAAGCTCACTAACAACGAAGCCGAGTATGAGGCTATGATTGTTGGTCTAGAATTGGCCAAGGTCCTGGGGGGCGATTCCATCGAGGCAAAATGCGATTTGCTCCTCGTAGTAAGTCAAGTAAACGAAAGCTATGAAGCTTGGGAAGACAGAATGCAGAGGTATCTGGATAAAATCCAAGTCACCTTGCGCTGCTTCAAGGAATGGACCTTAGTCCATGTACCCCGAGAACAGAACAACAAGGCTGATGCCCTGGCTAACCTAGGGTCGTCCGCCGAGGAAGAAGACCTACTCCCCGGGGCTGTGGTCCAACTGATCAAGTCCGTGGTTGAGGAAGGTCACTCGGAAGTCAACTCCACCAGCCTGACATGGGATTGGAGGAATAAATACATCGCCTGTCTGAAGGACGGGAAGCTGCCCGTCGACCCGAAAGAATCAAGAGCCTTACGAACCAGAGCGGTCCGGTTCTCGCTCGACGAAAATGGGGCCCTATACAGGAGAACCTTCGACGACCCCCTAGCAGTGTCCCTCGGACCGGGAGATACGGATTACGTGCTCCGAGAGATCCACGAGGGCACCTGCGGGAACCACTCCGGGGCAGACTCCTTAGTCAGAAAGGTAATCCGAGTAGGTTAGTATTGGGATAGCATGGAAAAGGACGCAATGGAGTTCGTCCGGAGATGAGACAAATGTCAAAGATTCGCCCCCATGATCCACCAACCCGGGGAACAATTACATTCCGTCATATCACCATGGCCATTCATGAAATGGGGAATGGATATCGTTGGACCTTTGCCAACAGCACAAGGTAAAGCTAGGTTCATTCTATTTATGACTGATTACTTTTCAAAATGGGTTGAAGCGCAGGCCTTCGAAAAAATAAGAGAGAAAGAAGTCATCAACTTCATATGGGAGCACGTCATATGCCGGTTCGGGATCCAGTCCGAAATAACATGCGACAACAGGAGACAATTCATTGGGAGCAAGGTAACTTAGTTCTTGGAGGACAACAAAATCAAAAGGATCCTTTCAACACCGTATAATCCGTGCGCAAACGGCCAGGCCGAATCCACAAATAAAACTATCATCCTAAACCTGAAGAAGAAATTAGAGAGCTCCAAGGAGAAGTGGCGAGAGACTCTACCCGAGATATTATGGGCATATCGGACGACTTTGAAATCAAGCACGGGCGAAATGCCTTTCTCTCTAGTATACGACACTGAAGCATTAATACTAGTAGAGGTCAGAGAGCCAAGCGCTAGATTCCGACACGCCAGCGAGGAGACAAACCACGAAGCCATGACAACAGCCCTCGAACTACTCAGCGAGAGGCGGGAGGCCTCGCTGGTTCGGATGGCTGCCCAGAAGCTCAGGTATTTTAGCATCGGAGACTTGGTCCTGAGGAAGGTTACTCTCAACACCTGAAATCCCAACGAAGGGAATCTAGGGCAGAATTGGGAAGGGCCGTATCACGTCTTCGGAATCATTAGCAAAGGCTCATATAATCTTGGCACCATGGAAGGCGAGCAGCTCCCGAGCAACTGGAATGTGTTGATGCTCAAGCGATATTACTGTTAGGGCCTCTGATCGTGAAATACCTGCGGGAGCCCGCGGTCGAACGTCGCACTCTCTTCCACAAAAACAGACTCCGACCCGGAGCGAATTTCCGCTGAGAGGGCTCTTCTGGCAAAGACAACACCAAGCCAAANCTAGCAAATTGGTCATCATTTTCTTTATCCGACAAGTGTTTCATCATTCCGGGGTAAAGAGGGACATCTGTTGATACCTAGTTCTGCCCTCATATTTCTCAAAATGGTATATATATTTTTAAAATGTCATTCTGCATCCTTACTCAATTTACAAGGTTTATACAAATATTTTTATTACTTGTTTTCGTAATTTTTAGAGCTTTAAAGTTAATTTTCATGCATTTAAATTAATTAAATATTTATTAAATATCCTTTTAAAACTATTTTGTGATGACGTAATCATCCAAATTTATTATTTGCACCCACATATAAGTTTATAACATTTTTACATCATTTCATATAATTATGTTTGTATTTTTAGCTATTTACGTAATTTTACAATAGTAGCCTATATTCATGCGTAATTACATTTTTTTTATATTATTTGTGCCAAAATACCTTTTTTTTAAATTTTGTAATGCTAGGGTATTATTTTCAATCATATTGGTGTATAAGAAAATATTTTATTACTTATTGTTAATTACTTTTATTTCCACAATTTTATATTTAAAAGATAGTCTAAATTATACCAATTTTGGACCACATTAGCAGCCCAAAACTACTCAAATACTTGGCCCAATTTCCCCAGCCCAAGCCAAAGGACCCCTTAACCTCAACCCGGCCGCTACCCACGTAAACAACCCGCCCCAATCCCATTTTAATCATGATCGTTGATCTTAAATGATCAACGACCCATAATAATTCCTCCACCTTCCTTATATCCCCTCACCAAAATCCTAACCCAATTGTGCAACGATCCGGCCGGTCGTTTCGAGAGTGATAGCCCAGTTTCCCCATTTCTGCTTCTTTTTGTGTTCTTCAGCTATATTATGATATGTTGGATCAGTTGGCTCGGTTGTAGAGTTGATTCGGAGATGATTTGAGACACTTAGTCTCTTTTGGGAAGGCTTAAGTTTGGATAGTTGACCGGATGTTGACTTATGTGTAAACGATCTCGGATGTGGATTCTAATGGTTCTGTTTGCTTTGTTAGGTGATTTTAGACTTGGGAGCGCATCCAGAATGTGATTTGGAGGTCCGTGGTAGTATTAGTCTTGAATTGGCAAAAGTTAGAAATTTGGCAATTTTGGTCGGCAGTGGAAAAATTTGATATCGGGGACGAAATGGAATTCCGGAAGTTTGAGTAGGTTTGTAGTGTCATTTGTGACGTGTGTGCAAAATTTCAGGTCATTCAGAGGTGATTCGATAAGTATCTGAATCGTTTGCGGAAATTGGAAGTTTTTAAGTTCTTAAGCTTGAATCGGAGGGTGATTAGGTGTTTTGATGTTGTTTTGAGTGTTCCGAAGGTTCAACTAAGTTCGTATGTTATTATATGACTTGTTAATATGTTTTGTAGAGGTCCCGAGGGCCCCGGGTTGATTTCAGGTGGTTGACGGAACAAGGTTGGAATTTGAGGAAT